TACTTAGTTGTCTCGGCAAATTGCTTGAGAAAATCATCAAAAGTAGACTGATGCTTGAGGTAGAACGACGACAGTTATTGCCACAACATCAAGCAGGCTTTCGTTCAAAAAAGAGTACAATTAATAATATTGTACGCTTAGAACGATATGCCAGAGATAATCTACTACGTAGTCGTCACTCAGCAGTCATATTCTTCGATATAAAGGCCGCATTCGACTCTGTTTGGCATGATGGTCTTATTCACAAAATTAATGATTTCAACTTACCACCATATCTGATCAATTACCTCATCTCCTTTCTGGACAATAGAACAGCCAACATCGAATTTGAAGGATCATTATCACGTCCATTCAAACTTAAGAGTGGTACACCGCAAGGTTCACCACTCTCGCCAATACTGTACATCCTCTTCACTGCAGACTCCATGAACGGGATCCCTGATCATACCGAACATGGTTTGTTTGCCGATGATACAGCATTATGGACATCATCCAACACAACATCGAACCTATCTTCAAGATTGCAACAATGGATGAACCTGTCACGACCTTCATCTCTTACAACTATCTTCCTTTGATTAACTTCAGTCATCGGTGGTCGGTGACTAAGACCCATTGCCTGACACCATCGAGCGTGCATTGAGGATCCTTGTGTTTCAGTTAAATACTTTAGACACATATCACCCGAACGTGCAAACATGTTGTACAGACGAATCTTAGCAAAACCTACAATATCATAGAGTTTACCGATTCCTAAGCCACCTTCTTTGAAGGGAAGATAGAAAAAATCACTACTTAGTGATGCGGGCAGTTTAAGTATAGATTTGAGCTGCCGTCGAATGAGACGATCTTGTTGACTCAATAGCTTCGGATAACATTCCGTATAGGTGAATGTATGTATAAATCTTGGAATAAGATATGTACGAAGCATAACCACTTTTTGCTGTGGTTTCAACGGTGCTTTCAAAAGTGATGTCAGAGCTAAACGTAGTTTAGACACTGATTCTCTTGGATCAACTGCGCCGAGAGGTGTATACTGTATTCCGAGATATTTGCATTGCTCTTTCACTCCGAGTAGACGGATCGGTTCATTATTCACCGTAAATGAGGGTGGATTCTTTACAGATGAATCGGCTATTTGTGATTTCTTTGCCTTTCCCGCTTTCCGTAGACAAATTGCAACACACTTCTTAACATTGAGTTCAAGTCCTCGACAGGAGAGAAACTTTTCTGTTTGAGAGAGAAGCTCCTGCATACCTATCTCAGTGCCTGATATCAATGCAAGGTCATCGGCGAAGGCACGTGCATTAACACTTCCTACACCTGATATCTCGTAACCAAAACGATCTCCNAACGAACCAGCAAAAGTGATGCACACATGTAAAAATGCATGTGCACTACTTTTGCTGGTTAAAATCGAACGAACCAGCAAAAGTGATGCACACATGTAAAAATGCATGTGCACTACTTTTGCTGGTTAAAATCGAACGAACCAGCAAAAGTGATGCACACATGTAAAAATGCATGTGCACTACTTTTGCTGGTTAAAATCGAACGAACCAGCAAAAGTGATGCACACATGTAAAAATGCATGTGCACTACTTTTGCTGGTTAAAATCGAACGAACCAGCAAAAGTGATGCACACATGTAAAAATGCATGTGCACTACTTTTGCTGGTTAAAATCGAACGAACCAGCAAAAGTGATGCACACATGTAAAAATGCATGTGCACTACTTTTGCTGGTTAAAATCGAACGAACCAGCAAAAGTGATGCACACATGTAAAAATGCATGTGCACTACTTTTGCTGGTTAAAATCGAACGAACCAGCAAAAGTGATGCACACATGTAAAAATGCATGTGCACTACTTTTGCTGGTTAAAATCGAACGAACCAGCAAAAGTGATGCACACATGTAAAAATGCATGTGCACTACTTTTGCTGGTTAAAATCGAACGAACCAGCAAAAGTGATGCACACATGTAAAAATGCATGTGCACTACTTTTGCTGGTTAAAATCGAACGAACCAGCAAAAGTGATGCACACATGTAAAAATGCATGTGCACTACTTTTGCTGGTTAAAATCGAACGAACCAGCAAAAGTGATGCACACATGTAAAAATGCATGTGCACTACTTTTGCTGGTTAAAATCGAACGAACCAGCAAAAGTGATGCACACATGTAAAAATGCATGTGCACTACTTTTGCTGGTTAAAATCGAACGAACCAGCAAAAGTGATGCACACATGTAAAAATGCATGTGCACTACTTTTGCTGGTTAAAATCGAACGAACCAGCAAAAGTGATGCACACATGTAAAAATGCATGTGCACTACTTTTGCTGGTTAAAATCGAACGAACCAGCAAAAGTGATGCACACATGTAAAAATGCATGTGCACTACTTTTGCTGGTTAAAATCGAACGAACCAGCAAAAGTGATGCACACATGTAAAAATGCATGTGCACTACTTTTGCTGGTTAAAATCGAACGAACCA